TTCATTGTTTCATTTTTCTTTATCATAACTTCGATATCAACATTTACTGTTGGTAAGTATTTGAAATGATAATAGTCAAATATGAACGATATTTTTGTTTTCTAGTTTGTTGCTGTGTAAAATCACTAGTTTGCGCAACATATGTACTAATTGTACATATTATTTCGATTGCTGCATCAAGCATTCTCCTATATTATGATGCTCTATTTCTTCGTCATCCTAATACATGTTTATGGCCAAAAAACTTGTGTAATGAAGGATCATTAAATCTTAAATTCTTCGGTACTACTTTAGGTACCAGCACAGATATTCATCGGATTAAATTTATTTTAATTAAAATACAAATAACTTGTGCTGCAGTTATGATTGCTATTTGTTTAGTCTATACTGGCATCTATGCTTATACAACTGTTAAAGTTTATACAAACAATAAAATAACTGATCCACACACAACTATTGAACTCGGTCGTATACAACAACCACCTCCACCTTATTGGCCACCGCCACCCCCAAGAGAATTACCTCCTTCATCTGATTTTTGATGAATAAAAAGTTTTACGAAGAAAAAAACCGGTTCCTTTGGTCTTATTTTTTCAAAAATTCTTTGATATTAAAGGTTACAAGGATTAAAAATAATCACTTCTATTAAATTATATTTGCTTCTTATGAGGTCTTTTTTTTGTAATGGTTAAAAATATCTGTATCTATATTGATTATACGTAAGATTTTATGTAAATTATTTACAAGCAGTGTGTGAAAAGCTCTAAAGAAAGTGTTTAAAGATGTATACCGAATGCTGGATAGTAGAGATTCTAATGGAACGAGTTGAACTTTTCTTCCTTATAAGAATGACTTCTTTTCGCATAGATTCTGCTTATCATCGATAGAGAATAACTATATCAGATTATGTAGTATTGTATTAATCTACAATCGACAAAATACTGTAATCACTGATTGACATGTGAAAAACAGAGAACACAATTCACTAATTATATCAAAGCAATCTTGAAAATATTACTTTATTCTTTGATCATATATAAGGATGCTATCGATCGCTTTTATTCAAGAGTATATTTCATGATTGAATTATTAAAATGTTGTCATGGACTTAGTCGTCTGAAGTGATTATCATAGTGGATATGAATGCTCATTTTTCTCTTCCATCTAATTATTGTTTCTGGTTATATTTCAATAACAGATTCAGCAAGAGAATCTCAAGACTTTATCCAAATTATAGATGTGTTACAGTGTGAATGCGTGACTGTATGATACAAGAAGTAACACTAACACACACTACACCGCCTACGCACACCCACACCATTCAAATGACTGAGATGAAAACAGACTATTTGACTTTCTTAATATGCGACTCGGCTGTCGTTACTAATTACTACGGCATTGCAGAATCCGCGCTTGGACATCGGCAGCAGCCATATAAAGTACCCATCTATCTGCTCATTTAATATTGGGAATGTACTTTTTCTCTTTCCTGTATTTAGCAATATTTTAGTGAATGACAAAAGTAAATAAGATATATAGTGAGCAATACTTCCACGTCTTTATTTTGTACATAAGAACCAATCACTATTCACCGTCCTACGTCTTCCTTGTTTTTTTCTTCGTATTTCTTCTATTATTTTCTTATGCTTTTGGTTGTTCGATTTGACTAATTTCTTTGATAATACTCGATCGGTGAATAAAGCCGAAGTCCTCAATATAATCAAGTTAAATCGAATATCTGAGTCATTTTCGTTCTGTTTTACCTTTTCTCTAGTCACCGAAAACCTCATTGAATAATAAATAGAAGTGCAAACAGTGTCTCTAAAACTATCACTGAGACAGTTGTTCATCAGTATTTTCAGTTCAAATACAGTGCATTTTCGTTTGAGTACGTGGCTAACGTAGTAACATTAGACGAGACGGAATGTATGTTCAAACAAGTAGCAACACGTCTAATATTGTAGTTGTACAACGTTGAAATGTTAAAGTTTTGGATTAGAAAAGAAGGGCATATTGGAATAGTTTTTCATTTATTGTCGGACGCATTTTTAACGTATACGTGCAGTGGAAGAATAGTCATGTAAAAAATCTAAACACTTGGGTTTTGTGTTGTCATGCTCTTTTATATGATTTCTTGATATTATTTTATGGATATTCTATGTAAACTCAAGTAGCTTTACAGCTTCCACAGAAAGACAGTTAATCCAGATTTTCTTCGAAGAATTGATTTAAAACTCGAGGAAGACTAATGCCTATTTTTGGAAATATAGACACATGATAGAATAACCATAAAGTCTGTAGCGGCCAAGTCGATCTTCGAAGGGGCAACGCTATATCAGTCCCACGCTGGATAAAACACTGATCTTTAAATATTTCTATAGTGGATTTTCTCTGCCATGGTCTTTGAAGCTTCTCTATCTCGGTTTGTGATGGGTACTGGCTTTCTCTGTCACGGTCTATGATGGGTATTATGTTTCTCTGTCACGATCTGTGGGGGGTGGGTCCAAATTTCTACCCTATATATTTCAACACTCCTTTTAGATCGTGTTTCATAAAAGAAAAAGAAAATGTTAGAAAAATATTGAATAGCGCATTTTTAACACATGTTCTAAACCCGCATTAGCAACAGCACAGAGATGGAACACGTTTGTTCGGATAAAAGTTGATAAAGAAAATATCATTGCATTTGTACAATGTATTAAGTGTTTATCAATTTTCGCTTATTAATCATCTAAAACTGGTTTAAGAGAGGATCCGCCAGAATACCGACCATCGCGGCTGCCGAAAAATTTTAGATTTTGATTCTGATCATCTCATTCGAAAGCCCATAAAAAGTAACTAAGAAAACCAAAATATCAACTCATTTTGATTTGTCTATAAGAAA